CTCTTTGTTAAATGCTAAAATTCCTTTAACTTTTACTATTATAAGTACTGCTACAGTGAACATATTTGAACCTGAATATTTTCCTACACCTTTGATTTCTTTAACAACAATTCCTAGAAATGGAATTGCTCAAAAGGCATGCATGACTTATTTTTTTAAAGGCTTGTGATAAATACTGCCAAAATTCTTTCCAGAAAAGTTTTACCGATTTATATTCCCACTAGCAGTATATGAGTGTCCATCTCACCACCAACCTCTGCCAGCAATAAGTATTATTAGAGTTCTATTAAATCTTTAAACTTCATATCATAAGATTATACCTAAAATCAAATATTCTCAACATAATAACAACTTTCTGCAGGGATTAAGCTTAAATGAGTAATAAGGGCCATGGGTGATGACAGTCCCAAAACAAGGGCCAGTGCCAATATCCAAATCAAGAAGAGCGTGGACTAGTGGCACAAGAAATGTAATTAGAGGGGAAAAACAAGGGTTCAAATCCTATAGTTATCAGTAGCTCTCTACCTTGAACCACTTTACTTCTCTCTAAGCCTCAGTTGCAGCATTTGTAAGATGGGGACGAACACATAACAGCCCTTGTTCTAACTGTAACAGGTAGTCAAGGGCACACAAAAAAAGGTAACATAAGTAATTGAAGGTGGTTCTTGTTATCTAACGGATCAACTTATTTAATAGCCTAAAAATAGAATATTGAAGCCCTATTCTCGACAGTGCACAGTTGATAGGTATGCCAAGTAATGCACAAAGCACAACTAGAAATTAATGAGACTAATTTCATAATCCAGACATGAAAATAAAGCTCACTCCTTCACAATCACTCCACAGAATCACTTCTTGTTACATTATACTAACATCCAAATGTCCTGTGCCCCTGAAAGCTGGTACCTGCATCTCTCCATAAGTTATTTCATTTAATCCTCACAAGCAGTATACGAGATTGGCAGTATTGTCCTCATTTTGCAGATTGTGAAGGTCACACCATTTATAACTGACAAAGCTAGTAGGTGTGACTTCAAAATTCAAGCCTGCACCTCAGTTTGTTGTTGTCTCTTTATCAGCAACTAAAGTTCAGATTAAAAATTTACTTTGGTTTAAAAAGAAAACCATTTCTTCAAATAATTTTCTACCAACTTCTCTGCTGAAGCAGTACTTATTTATAATAATATACCTTAAAATGAGTCCACAGGGAACTAAAAAATGTTACTGTTTTGAATGTGTAAAATTCAGTCAATTTTGTCTGCATCAATAATAAAAGCATATTCATAAAAGTATACTCAAGTATAGGATATGAATCTAACACTGCATATATTTAAGGGTAAATGTGACATAATATTCAATTTATTTCACAAGTGGTTACTATAATCTAATTCCGATACTTATTCTAACACCTTCTTGCTGTTTCCAGAATTTAAGTTTTGTTTTTAAAGTGGTTTCTCCCATTTTTCTCACTTTCAATTACTTGAAACTGTTTTCTTATTTGGGTCCAAATTTTGTGCTTCCTATATTAAATCTATTTCCCCAATATATCTAGACTGCTGCCAACTAAAGTTAATAAATTTTGAATGATTGCTCAGGATTTATTTTCTTCATTTTTATATTCCATGTTATGTCCTTATACAATAGAGTATGAATGAAAACAAGTATCTAGAAGGCCAATTTTTTTTTTTTCTTTTCAATTTTCACCTTGTGGAAGCTGGGTATTGAAATAAAAATAAATTAAACTCTTGGGCTGGGAACTCCCTGACCATATTTCTCTCACTATGCTGGGTGTCTCTATGCCTCCTTTCAATCTTGTGTATATATAGTCAACAAAGCACTGTACGCATTTGGGGAGCACCTGGCCTGTCAAGGTCCTTTCCCAGAAGTAATGAACAAAGAATAGGGGGAAGAGCTGAGCAGGGGCTCTCTCCCTGCCAAGAGAGAAGAAGTAGCACTTTAGCGTTAAACCATTCTCTACTGGGGCCTGCCAGTAACCAGCTATGTAACTTTAGAAAGCTTGTCTATTAGAAAGCTTGGCATCCTTAAAAGACCTCAGCAAGACTTGATTTGGGCTCATTATCATCCAGATGGGAAAAAAAGATACAAAGATTTCTAAGTGGCTTGACCAAAATCAAAAGGCTGTTAGTGGCATAGCTACAGACAGACTTCAAGTCCCTCTCAATCTAGCGCACTTTCTACTAAACTGTCTTTCACTGGGAGCCAATTTTTTCATCTCAAGAGGTTATGTTTACTCCCCATGTTCACTTCATGGCACTCACTGTACAGAGGACCAAAGAGGCAAGAGATTTGATAGCATTTAAAGTGCTGCCCCGCCGGGCGTGGCTCAGAGGTTGAGTGTTGACCTGGGATCCAGGAGATCAGGGTTCGGTTCCCAGGAAAGGCACATGCCCGGGTTGAGGGCTAGGCAGCCGATCAATGACTCTCTCATCACTGATGTTTCTCTCCCTCTCCTTTCCTCCCTCTGAAATCAATAAAGATATTTAAAAAAAAAAAAATTTAAAGTGCTAAAAGTATTACAAGGTAATCTCATCAAACCCCAACCCTACTGAAATTCAGCCTCATTGTGTAATAAAAGCATTCACCCTCCATTTCCCCAAAGACATCAGTATGAGTCAATTACAAAACCCCCTCACTCTAGCAATTTACCAGTAGACTTCTGATCAGTAATCTCTACTTGTGTTGTACCTCCTGTGGGTACCAAAATTTCAGCGATAAAGTAGATCAGAGTTCACGATTAAGTCAGACTAGGACTGTACACAGCCCACAAATGTGCTTTGGTCCACACAATAAAATTTGGTCCAAATTTTTAAAACTAAATACATTAAAACCCAACCCTGGCTGGGTAGCTCAGTTGGTTAGAGCACTGTCCCCATTCACCAAGGCTGCGGGTGATCAGAGCACATGGAAGAATCAACCAATGAGTACATAAATAAGTGGAACAACAAATCAGTGTTTCTGTTTCTCTCTAATAAAAATTAAATTTTTCTAAAATAAATACATTAAATCCAAGATTTCCAGCAGCTCTTGAAAACAAGCAAAAGATCCAGGGACAGTGGGCCTACTTTCCCACACAGCAACAAGCAACCAGAGCTGAGCAGCAACTGAGACCTTCAGACTGGTCATATGCCCTCCAGGTCACCAAGGTCTGTCCTACTTTCTATATTACATCGTGGGCATTTGAGTTGAAGACCCCTGAGGCAGATGCTCAAAAGAAAACTAAGTTAATAAGTATTTGTTCACTCCTTTGGAAAGTCCAATTTTTTTCTGGCATTCTCACTCACTAGCTGTGTGACTCTTGGGTAACATACTTAAGCACTAAGTCTTATGCTACCTGTGTGTTAAATGGGGTAATATCACCTATCTCAGAGAATCATGAAGATTGAAGGAAACAAAGTATACAAACACATTTACCAATGACCAAAATATAAGTGCACAATTATTTTAAATTTAACACAAGTTGAAAATGTGCTAACTTTTAAGTCAAAACTTCTCAAAAACTTCAAACTCACAGAAAACACAAGGTCAGAGCACCTACCTACTATGGGGGAAAAATCATGTGACAAAATTCCTTGTCATAGAATTGGTATCTATTGCTGTGTCCTTAACAATAAGGCCTATATATCAGAGTAACAGATTTCCAGCAAATTCTCAACCTGGAGCATTTATAAATCCACTGAAGTACAACAGTTTCTAAAGTCAGTTATGAGTCAACTAGTAAAGGAAACCCCCCATTAAAAAGTAATATATTTCACATGAGAGGTGAGGCGATGAGCTTCTTGAGTGCCGGTGCCACATTCATCCCTCAATATCCCTACTGCCCAGCACAATGACCAGCACACTGAAACACACCTCAAGGGCTAGCTCTTTTTTGAAGCCTCTCCAAAGGGTCCCCACCAACATCACAGAGAAGAAACAACACGGTGTAGTAATGAAGAGTGGAGATACCAAAGCCTAGCAGATAATCCCCTCTACTCACAACTCCAACAGCTGCATAAACTCATGGAATTTATTTAACATCTCTGTGTTCTACTCTGCTCATCTGTAAAACCAGGATGCTAATATACACTTTCTGTACAGAAATAAATAATACATTTAACACAATGCTGGCAAACAGTAAGTGCTCATTAGCTAGCATTATCAGCGTTCCCTCCTTTGTGCTCCTTGGTACCCTGTGGGGACTGCTATCTTTGTACCTACAGTACTTTACTACAGTTCACCTGCACACAATATGTCTCCCCCACTAGAATGTCAATAACCTCAGGTTGGGAAACTGGTTTTATTCCTCTTTGCATCTCCAGGGTCTAACGTTTGCCCTGTCACTGCTGAATGAATCACAGATCCTCAAAGTATTTATTAACTAGAAAAGTCATAAGCAGAAACTTACCTTTCTTGCCTGACACTCAAGCCCTCACTGACACTGACCCCTACTGAGCCTCCAACCTCCCAGTATCCCCACTAAAAAGAAGCAATAGCTTGCTTTATTAAGGCTGGTCTACTCACCACTCTAAAACCATGCCACAGTCATTGCACTTTTGCACCTTATAGTTATCACGTGAGACCATGTATCAGGCCTTTTATCCACATTAGATTACATATTCACAATACTGCATGAAATCTGTATTATCCCCCTATCCCAACCCATACTTGAGGAAAATCATGCCTAGAATAAGGAACTTGCCAAAGGTCACACATCTAGCAAGAAAAGGAACCAGGAATTGAATACAGAGTTCATGGTCATTCTCTACAGAATGCCTTCCTTGCTTATATTCAAAGTTGAGCCGACCCACCTACCACCTTCTAGCTTTGAAAAATCATGATCTTCTATACATTTAAAAGAACATCTGTACCACTAATTTTGACACTCATATTTTTTTCTCTTGTATACTTGTTTCAATATGTACTTGATATCGAGAGCTATGGTGTGAGAAAGAAGGCAAAACACGTAATGAAAAAAGCACAGATGGAGGCATTAGACAGACCTGGGTTTGAATCTTGGCTGTCTTGTACCAGCTATGTAATTTATTGAGTCTTCCTAATCTGTAAATTGAGAGTAAAATGATTAAACAAGAGAAACTTATATGTAATATCCAGTACATAGTAAATAATAAAGCTTAGTTAACCCCACATTGTGAAGCATTACCTGGTCATAGCACACTCCTCAAAAATTAATGACCCACCCCCCGTCTGCGCTACCTCTGTATCACAGAAAGAACGCTCACTCAGTGTACTTATCAGTGTTGGAATTATTCCCTTATCTCTCTCACTAAAATGAGCTCCCTGCAGCAAGGACTGAGTCTTACTTATCTCTACATTGTCCGGCATGGTACCTGGTATATATCTATACTCAGGAAATGCTTGCTAAGTGAAATAATTATAGATATAATGAGTGTTTATGGGATTCTAAAAAGAAATAATTTCCAGCTGGGGTTGTTCTGAATTGGTTGAGGGAGGCCAATTTCAGCTGGGCCCTGGGTAACATCTTAATAGCTGACAACAGAAAAGGAGAAATCTTCTAGGCAGGGAGAATGTCCTACAAAACACAAAGGACAAAGAAAAGAACAAACATGACTTGATGTCTTACTTATCTAAAGTAAAAGATCAGGGTAATTAAGGAAGGGGGCCTTTTTAAGCATAGCTGGAATGTTAGCCAGGCACCAGATCACGAGGTGTAGAGGAATGTGAGTTCAGGATGGGATTACAGTAGTTGAAGATAGGTATGAGAACAAAGCTGAATGGGAAAGGCACCACCAGCATGCCTCATAGGCCCCAGCAAGCTTTTGAGTGTGTAAACTGAAAAAGATGAAAACAGTTATCAATGCTTTATCAATAACTCTTTCAGCATTTATTGAGCATCTCATGTGGGCGCATAGTGTATGAGGAATAAAAGATCATGTCTCCTTTTCTTGCTCTAGTGGGTTCTTAATTAGGAAACCACCCCTTTTGCTTGACAAAACAATGAGAATGTTGGTGCTGTTTGAACTAATGTTTGTAAACACCTGTCTCCATTTGACCATTCACACTTGGGGAAGTTTTGAACTTTGCTGGTTTTGATTTACAACATGATGCTTTGCACAGCACTAGGTACTGTGATGGGCTTCGAAAACTACTTGTGTTCATTCAGAATGAAATTTTAACCAATTTCTGAATCAACTTTTGGGACTCCGGTTACAGCAATACTCTTGTTTAAACTACAATCATTTGTTTCTACCTTAAACGATCCAGAACACTCTGCCACTCCCCCAAATAAAAAGATGAATCAAAGTTACAGCAGCACTCCACCTATAAAAAAAGACGTCTGCAAGGCCGTTTACCACTTTGGGGCAAGGGGGAAAGGGGCGATAGGCACCGGGGCCACATAGGCAATGCTTTAAAAACTTGATTTTCATATTGTGAAGATTAGGATGCCTAAATGTTGCCGAGCGTGGGGCCAGAAACTGCCAGAGCCACCAGTGTCCTTCTCCCTCCCCCGACTCCCACCCAATACCACCACCAGATCCACTAGCTTCTCCTCCCCCAAATCACACACACAGCTGGCTGTCAGGCTCACAGACTGCAGCCTCCGGCTCTGGAAAGGGCCAGGAAACGGATGCTCACGGGAGACGTGCCAAGGGCCACACATGCTGCCCGCTGGGTAGCGCCTAGAGCAGAGGACTGAGGATCCGCTAGGCTCTTGGGGTGGCTGGCAGGACAGAGAGCGAGTAGGCTAGCGGTTGGGGCAACCTTTACCTGAAGGCGCTGCCACAGTACGGGCTGGGTGGGCCCAGGACACGGTCCTTGGGGGAGGGCCCGGCTCCCCTGCGCCTCCGGGCCCCAGCCCCGAACTCCCGGAATCCTCGGGGACTGGCGCTCCTCCCGGTCGGCTCAGCTGCCGCTTTCCGGGCTCGCCCTCATGCCCCCGCCGCTCGCCGCCGCCTGCCTGCAGAGCAGCAGCCCTGTTGCCCCGAGTCGCCTCACGACCCGGAACCGCACCCCGCGCGCCGGAAGTCCCCGACCGGGAAGGAGCCGATGGCTGGGAACCTAGTGCGCAAGCCCCAGAGCCGAAAGCAGATAACTGAGCCCTCCCGGGGGCGGGGCCAACCGGAAGGCCTGCGCATGCGCACCACTCCCCCCGCAGCAGGTAAAGCCGGGCTCAGAGATTACCTGAGAGTCTGGCGAGATACGCTTACCCCGGGAAATCGACGTTAGCGTTCTCCTTCGAATCTTCTCCTTTCTCCCCATTTCTACGGAAAAAGGCCCAAGTTCATCGGAAATTATTAACGAGGCAGCTTAGCCTCTGGGTCAGAAAGACCTGGATTCAAATGCCAGCTCTAACCTGCTGTGTATCCTAAGGCAAGAAACCTCCCCTCTCTGATCCTTGGTTTTCCCATCCATACAATAGTTCCAATTTTAGAGTATTGCTCTGAGACTCAAGTGGGATGATGCTTTAAAAACACGCAACACAGTCCCTGACACAATAGACACTTAGTAAATGTTAGGTATTACTCTTGCTGTCTGTAAAGTGGAGGTGATAATTATCCTCCTCAAGAACTGAAGGGAGGTTTCCATAGGGTATGAAGACTGACACAGAACAGGAGCTCATTGTTTGGGGGGAGGGGGAGCTGTCTCTCAGTGGGAATCAATGAGGGAAGACACTTGAAGGAGAAAGAACTCAAGCAGTGCAATGATATACCTCTCCTACCTGAGAGATAGTCCAGAAAGCCTCTTTTAAAAATGCATCCTAGGCCCTGGTCGGGTAGCTCAGTGGGTTAGAGCATCGTCCCACGGCTGCGGTACATCCTCCCTCAAGGCACATACAAAAAGCAACCAATGAATGCATAAATAAGTGGGACAACAAATCCATGTTTCTCTCTCCTTTCCTCTCTCTCTCTAAAATCAATCAATCAATAAAATTTTTTAAATGCACTTTAACAAAAGAAAAAAATAGTCAAGGCTGAATTTTAGCCCAGGGGGATCCTTACCCAACATTAAAGTCACCAACAAATACACCACAGATCTACCCCATGTTCACTCTTAGCTCATGGGGGTAGGGGAGATGCACCTTAAATACCCAAATGCATTCTTGCATACACACCACCACAGTTCTATTGAGGGCCAGTTAGAGGCATTATGCCAAAGCAAAGGGTATAAACAAGGTTGGATAGTCTGCTTTCTGAAGTCACCAGATTATTTGACCCCTCCTAAATATTAATCTTAATTTTTATTTCTGTCTTGAGCTCCAATCTGAAGCACAGCTGCCTGATTGTCCCTCAGACACGTAAAACTCAACCTACCTAAAACAAATCAACTGGACATGCTAAGCATTTATGGGTTGTAAGGACTAAATATCCACTTTACTGCTTACAAATGTTATGGCTTCATTTTCCAAGCTGCTTCTCTAAAATTCCTTACTGTAAAATGAGAATGACAAAAGTCCTAACTAACCCCATTGGGTTGCCATGAGGATTAAATGAGCTAATACATATAACTCATATAGAATAGAGCTCAGCATGTAGTTAATATTTACTAATATTTATATAAAATGTTTACCACTATTGCTACACCTTAGTCAGTAAACAAGTACTTATTGAGTGCTTGTGGATTAAGCCTTGCTTAGACGCTGGAGATTCAGTAGTAAAAAAGTAGGCAGGGGCTCCACCCTCAGGAAGCATATAGTCAAGTTTGACTATGAATTTTGAATAGTCATTGTGGTAAGTTGGAGTGCAGGGAAATAAGGTAAAATTTCAAAGACATGGTTGAGGGCCCCATCGAGAATGGAGACTGAATTCATGGTGATACTAACATAATGGTTTGTGACTTTTTTATAGTTAGTTTGAATAGTCAAAGATACAGGCACCCAAAGAGTGAGCAATTGCTTTAATCCAAGGAAGGAGTTTTGCTAGACAGGTGTGTTGGAGTCAAGGAGTTTAAGATCTCAGCTTTTAAGAGCGCTTAAAACAGGATGGTTGCTGGATAGATAGTTAGAGAATTGCGGAGAGGTTGGTGTCACTGGCCTGAAGGTCCTGGAACAGGTGTAGTGGAGCAAGGCGGAAAGCTGGAGGTTGTCCTCAGAGATGGATGTCTCAATGAGTAACCTCAGATGAACAGCCATGTGAGAGTGGGGTCCTTTCTGAAGTAAAATTGGAGATGAGATGGTCAAGGAACTGAGATGCCACTTGGACCTCAATAGCTCCCAGGACGATGGGTGGACATGGGGTGAAAAAGAAACTGGGGTGCTTCCCAAGCCATCCTGCCACTGAGGAGCGGGGGTAGGTGAGGAGGAGAGAGGACGTGCCAACTATATGGCTTAGCCTCCAAGAAGTAGGAGTCGTATCAGACAGCCACAGTGCCATTAAAAAGCAAAGCATACAGTGACCTATCTCCCAACCCAGGGGTGCACAGGGGTAGGATCGTAGCAGCTAACACCCAGAGAAAAATTGTATTTTTACAGCACACTGCTTGTGCTGGGCCGGGGCTGAAGGGGGACTCCAGCAGGCACGAGGGACAAACACCTCAGCATGCCTGTGACAATCAGGTTTCATAGGCTTCGGCTCCAACTTGGACAGGAGGCCATGGTAAGAGATGGAGGCTCCCTTTCTTCTGGTTCCCAGGACTAGAACTGGGGCAATGGATAGAGGTTCAAAACAACCTCCTAGCTGTGTGGCCTTCGACAAGTGATTTGCCTTCTCTGTTTCTCATTTCCCCTCTTCCAGGTTGTCATGAGGCTCCAATGAGGATCCGATGGGGGCTGCTTGGAACATCGCCTGCATGCAGAAGGGTCCTGTGAATGCCAGCTCTTAAGTCCTGTGACACCCAGGTGGGTAGCAAGATGTAGGGACCCTTATGCTTTGCTTTCCTCAGGGTCTTCTCAAACCTCAGTGGCCCTTTCCCTCTCCACTCGGTAAATTCCTTTCCTCCTCCTTCTATTTAGTGGCTTAAAACATCAACCAAGGAAAGGGATGTTTCTTACTTCTTTTTATATACTAAAAGCTTAAAATACCATAAACACTTGGGAAAATGCATGTTAAATGAAAAGCTGCTCCAAACATGCACTGGAAATGAAGCAAGTGGAAATTGTATTTTGTATACACGGAATTTGCATGTGGAAAATACCACTTTGCCAAACCTAGGACAACAAGCCGAGAATAAACGTAATAGGATGAAAGTAACACTCCTTTAAGCCCCGCCAGAGCTGTGGGATGGAGGCACCTTCGAGTTTCTCTGCAAATGTGTGTTCTTAATATTTTATGTGTGTGAATATGTTTCCCTGCTATTTTCCCAATTTTGGTTTCCTCTACTTTTGAAATATATTTCTCCTCCCATAGGGAAAACATAGGCATTTCTACTCCTCTGGTACAAAGCTATTTCAGGACAACAGTAAATCAGGTGTCAAAATCCATTCAAACTATTTCCAAGAAGCTCCCAAGAAGTATACAACTCAGAGCAATATAATATTTTTTCAAATTAAAATAATATTTCAATGTGAAGAATTTTTTGAAGCAAATGTATTGCTTATAGTGAGGTGAGTTGGTGGGTCCAAGGGAAGCACAAAATTAACCAACCCGAAAATCGTAAACATAACACTTTTCTGATACTATTTAAGCACTGATCAGCTCTGGGGGTCCACAGAGATTCACTGAGCTTTGTTCCATTGTGTTTTTGTGCTGAATATTATTTGTGGTGAATATCCCTTTTTAGACACTTGGGGGGAAAATGAAACATCTGGATGGTATTTAGCATCTCTTTGGCTACATTTATATATACAATCCCTGCCCCAAATCCAGGCCCTGTAACCACCTTCTAATAGTATCCTTCCTTGCTTTAAAGGTAGCTAGCACTGTGTATGTCG